AAAAGTAATCGAAGGGAATCTTATATAAGGTAGTAAAGGAAAGCATAAAGAAAGGACTATCTATCAGCTGTAAGAAGACATCAATCATGGTTGCGAGCAAAAGAAACAACCGAAGGTGTGAAGTACATAATGGGGACGTCGAAATGAAGAAAACGCAGAAATTCAACTATCTGGGTGGTGCATTGTCAAAAAAAAAAAAGAAAAAAAAGTGAGACAGAAAAAAAGATGTCTTCCAGCAACTAAGAAAAGCATCAAGGCATATGAAAATGTCCTTAGAAAGAAAGAAAACTAAAATATTTGTAAAGAAAGGAGTAAATGATTATCATGTTTATAGATCATTTTAGTCGAATTCATATCATTATCTTTCGTTAATAAAAAAAGCAAAAAAAAAGCCGACACTCAATAATATCAATTATGAACACGGCTACAACGTGTTTAAGAACAAGACTCACCTTACATCTCTCTGACCATAGCTCAATTAGGACTCATTTAAATACACATAAAGACCTACCAAACTATCTGTAAGATACTTGTGGATAATACAAATATAATAGCATCATCCTTATGTACAAAAAGGCAAAAATAATGGAAGCATTATTAATAAAAAAGTAAAAGCTAACACTTAATAATATTAACTATGAACACGGCTACAATGTGTTGACCATGTTTGGAAAATAAAGCATTCCTATAACTATAGATACATACATAAATCAATCTATACATTCAGTTAAAAGTAAAAAAAATAAAATCATCCTTGATAATGGCTAAAAGTATAGCCGAAAACACTCGGGCATAAAAAACATTCGGACAATTTCTACATAATTTATGTTCAGAAAAGAAGAAAATTATAAGAACCCAAGAAAAATTAAATTAAAAACTTAATCGCAGTACCTTGTCAGTCGTTTTAATGAAAATGTATAAAAAAATGATGCCCAAATACACAATTTTATATATATATATATATATATATATATATATATATATTCATACATGTTTCATTAAATAATATAGACACGTGTTGTCTATTTATTTTATGTAAATTCTTTTCATAACGTCTGATAAACTTAATAACATTATCATTAAACGAAGAAAGAAAATCACAATATTGATCCATATTTTTTAATCCAATCTAAGCTTTCGGCTTACATAAGCCATTATCAAAGAGATCAATTACTGTACAACATATTAAGCAATATACGGGCAAGAGAGTGATGATAGTCTGTTATTGTTTACATGGATGATTTCCTAGCAACGATAAACACGTGCATATAAGACGCTAGAAGCGAAAATCGCACCGCGTCTCATGACGTCACACATGACCACGCGAGAGTGAATTCGAGAAGTATTAAGTATGGGAAGCCGTTGGTATAAACACATTTATACTTCAACATGAAAACAATAGACAAAAACTGAAAATCCTTGAAGCAATATATATCAAACAGTTGAAACCCAACCTAAACAAAATCAACTATGGAATCTCTGCAAATATCCTTTAATGTCTATAAACGTGTAACAGAAGCCATTGGTTTATACCAACTCGTGGTATATATCGTGGTCCGACGATTGCGTTTACGCATGAAACAGACTGTCGTCTCTTCGGTGTTGTCCACAATGTCCTCATATATATATATATATATATATAAATATATATATATATATATATATATGTGTGTGTGTCTGTGTGTATGTGCGTATATGTGTGTGTGCGTGTATTTTCATGTGTGTGTGTGTGTGTGTGCATAGCGTACGTCAAGTACTTCATAACATAACACACCTTTACAAAACCGTAAGTGACTGTTGTGTTCCATGTCGTCATTGGCTTCAGTCCCTTGGGCCTTAAAGCCAATTGATACATTGTATCAACGAAAAGCCGTTTCTTATTCTTATTCGTTTTATTATACGAGAGGAACGAACGTGGTAGCATCGATTTAAGGCGGTAACGGAAGGAAGAACTTTGGAGAGGAAGTGTCATTCCCCCACGTGCGGCCTAGGTCTTCTAATAAATCTGGGTGCGGATGCTTCAAAATTCTTTCGGCCCGCTGCCAAATTCGCGCCGTTTTGGTTTTATATCCAAAACTTAGATGCCAGAATTCCACACCCATAAGTTATTCTGACAAATCACTCACCATCCTGTCCCAGCTAAAAATCAGGTTACGTTTTTCAATATCATCATGGAATCTTTCAACTCTACCGCTGGAGACGACAAATGCAAGCATCTCTCGTTGTTTAGGCTGCCAAACAGCCACATTTAGAGATCGCATCCTTCTTAAATGTCGCTAGGGTATTCGTGTTTAAGACAATAAAAGAGCTCCATGCCTCTGGCAAGAATGTGTCTTCATTGGTCAAAATCAAGAATCATGCTCACCATACAGGCCTTGACAGGAATGTTGAGTTCATCCAACAATTCTACGTTATCATCGACGAGAATCCCAGAAAATCAATGAGGGTCAAATACTAATCAATTCAATGTGGGGGATTCAACAATCAAACCTGCGTTGTA